ATCTGGTGCCGCTCTCCTAAACTATAGTAAGCTCCTTCAATGTAACTGGCTGCAGAGACTGCCATCCTCAGCCAGATGGCTCTGACCACCTTTCTCCTGAACTTTACTGAAACATCTATCAGACATAGGGGATGATCACAGCTCTGGATGTCATCCCCAGTCCCAATCTCAGTCATCTCATGGCAAGAAGTAAGATCAAGAAAGATAGGACTAACTGCACAGCTACATGTAAGAGAATGAAACTGGATCATTGTCTAACCCCATACACAAAAGTAAACTCAAAATGGATCAACGACCTGAATGTAAGTCATGAAATCATAAAAGTCTTAGAAAAAAACATAGGCAAAAATCTCTTGGACATAAACATAAGCAAGTTCTTCATGAACATATCTCCCTGGGCAAGGGAAACAAAAGCAAAAATGAACAAGTGGGACTATATCAAACTAAAAAGCTTCTGTACAGCAAAGGATACCATCAGTAGAACAAAAAGACATCCTACAGTATGGGAGAATATATTCATAAATGACAGACCCAAAAAGGGGTTGACATCCAAATTATATAAAGAGCTCATATACCTCAACAAACAAAAAGCAAATAAGCCAATTAAAAAATGGGCAGAGGAACTGAATAGACACTTCTCCAAAGAAGAAATTCAGATGGCCAACAGGCACATGAAAAGATGCTACACATCGCTAATCATCAGAGAAATGCAAATTCAAACCACAATGAGATATCACCTCACACCAGTTAGGATGGCCAGCATCCAAAAGACAAACCAGAAATGTAGGGAAGGATGTGGAGAAAGGGGAACCCTCCTACACTGCTGGTGGGAATGTAAATTAGTTCAACCATTGTGGGAAGCAGTATGGACGTTCCTCAAAAAACTCAAAATAGAAATAGCATTTGACCCAGGAATTCCACTCCTCGAATTTACCCTAAGAATGCAGCACTCCAGTTTGAAAAAGACATATGCAGCCCTACGTTTATTGCCACAACATGGATGGAGCTAGAGGGTATTATGCTCAGTGAAATAAGCCAGGTGGAAAAAGACAAGTACCAAATGATTTCACTCATCTGTGGAGTATAAGAACAAAGAAAAAACTGAAGGAACAAAACAGCAGCAGACTCACAGAACCCAAGGATGAGCGAACAGTTACCAAAGGGAAAGGGACTGGGATGAGTGGGAAGGGAGGGAGAAAGGGAAAAAGGAGCATTATGGTTAGCACACATAATGTGTGTTGGGGTCACTGGAAGGCAGTATAGCACAGAGAAGACAAATAGTGATTCTATAGCATCTTACTACACTGATGGACAGTGACTGTAATGGGGGTGTGTGGTGGGGGCTTGGTAATGGGGGGAGACTAGTCACCATAATGTTGCTCATGTAATTATACATTAATGATATCAAAAAAAAAGAATATCATACAAACAAATAAAGATTGGACTACCCACATTTAGCAGATGCTCCAAAACAAGGTGTACGCTCAGTGATTTTAACTGAACTGGGAACCTAAAGGCTTACCTGCTAGTATTCTCAACCTGTGCTCCCTGACTACTGTAGGTACTACCTGGCAGAACTCTCAATTGTAAAGTCTTTTTTTTTCCCAGGGGCACTATTTGCACCCTTGAGACTGTATTTCTTGGGTGGGAGCTGGGCACTGCCACATCTCTCTCCTGAAAACACTGTGACTGGCACCTTTGGATGGTACACTTTCAGCACCTTGGATCCCACAATAACACCATAGAGAGAAGGCCTGAACTCCGTGGCAACAGAATCCATACCAGGGCCCTCAGCTTTGCCTGCTAGTTCAGCTGCTTGAAGGAAAGGACATTTGGTGCTGTCTGTGGGAGCATTCTACTGCTCTGCTCCCTGGGATGAGGAAGGGGGGAATAGGGCTTAGTCATCTTGTCATTTTTATAAATCTTCAATGCCCTCCCCACCTGCCCTCCCACTCTTCTAATTCCAATTTTTCTCTTCACCCCTGACATCTCTCATTCCTTGCTTATCACCCCAGACACCACTCCATCCAAGTGTCTTCATTGCTCTGAAGGTTTATTTTCCTTTCCACTTTAGTGCTTTTAACTTCAGTTGTGTCTCAGCAGGGCACAGTGCACACACATAGACATGAACTCACTAATTTTTAATGTATCATGTTGCTATCAATTTGATCCAGAATAGGGGATTATTGATTTACGATCATAATTTGTGATATCAGTGTTTTTACCTGGTTTAATCCCTGATCATCTTAGAAATAACTATGGTGTGCCACTACTGCTGCTAATGAATTTAAAAGGTATTATTGAGTGCTAAATATGTTGTGGGTCACTTACATACAGTTTCTAATTTTTAACACAGGATGGAGAAATTGTGTCTAGAGGAGAAAATAAGTCAATTGTCTAAGGTGACGAAACTAGTATGCTTCAGAACTTGCACTGTGAGCAACAGCTGCCTGAAGAGGCATATTTAGAACGTTACTAAGCCATAAAAATTACCATAGGTCATGTACAGAAAGCCAAAACCTTGATGATCCCAGAGACCTTCTCCAAAAAGGCTCACCTAAATTTTGTGTCTACTGGGCCATCCCAAACTGCCTTTTCTTTCCTTAAATAACTCACCTAAGGGTCCATGTAAAATTACTTCCAAAAATTTTAATGACATTAAACACTTTGACACAGTATCTTCTCATACCCTGTATCTAGAGAGACTGAACATTTTGGTCAATTTTTCACTCAGTGTGCAGACAGTAAGCATTGCCCTTCTATGTTTTGTTGCCCTCTTAAATGTTCCCTTAATAATAGGTTATGCCATCTGATGGGCAATTTGCCTTTGTACCATTTTGCCTGTCATGTTGTTTCCCTAACATTAAGGAGCTAACTGGGACTATAAAAAGGCTCAGAGACGTTACACTGCTCAATAGAGTGCCTGTCTTTTTTTTCTGTTTTGTTTTGCTTTTCTCCTTTTTTAAAAAAAACTTCCCATTACACTTAACGCCCTCCTTCATCTTTCCTTACAAACTCACTGGGGACAATACAGTCCTTACAAACTCACTGGGGACAAATATTCATTTTTTTTCCTACCGTGCCCATTTTTCTTATGGCCAGTTAGAACTGGTCAAAGAGAACGGAATAAGCAGAAAAGACATCAAAAAATTGTTTCTTCTCTGTCTAATTGTGTAAAGCTGCTCTTTTAAGGAACTGGGGCTACTCCCACCAAAACAAAGAGTTAAATATATTTTTTCAAAACAAATTGTGTATGCATGTAAATATGTATACTGTGGCTAACATTCCACATGACAGTCTAGCCAGAAGGAAAACCTGAAATGCTTTTGAACAAATTGTCTTTTTTGACATACACTCACAACATGAATAATCCCAGTACAACATTTAAATTAGCTAGCATGGCTTGAGAGATGCTAAAACATAGTTTCCCTACTGTGTCATGCCCTCAGTAATGTCTGATTATATCTCTGGAGGTCATGTCTACATTTTAGCAGACTTTCTATCTGATGAAATGACTATTTCCTGTTTTAGGAATACACTTTCTTTGTAACTCTTATACAATGCTTAGTTTTACATAAGATGTATCTCCTGTTGGCTCAGTAGCACCTTGAAAACGATCTCTTCTATTTTTGTAATTACAAGGTTACTTTTAATTCTTGAATTTTATAGTTCAGCATGAACACCATCAAATGGTCCAAAACAAGTGCAGTGGTATTTTGAATACAAAATAAATATCTGTCTGTGGAAAACTATACTTCATACTTACATAGACAGCCCATCTTGTTCAAGTGATAGCCCAAATTAAAATTAACTCTAAAATCTTCAGAACAGGAAAAATGCTTTAATTTAAAGTAGTCCAGGAAAAATGGACCCAATTAATTTGCTCCTCTAAAAATAAAACCTCTTAACTCTTTATTACAACTTATTTTTAGGAATTCATTTGCACTCACTCTTTAATGAGGCACCTTTCTTCATTGATGGAAAAAAAAACTTTAATGAGGCACACTGTTCTTCATTGATGGAAAAAAAAACTTTGTGTACTGTATGAAATTTGACATTTAAGTAACTTTTCTTGATCCAAAATGGCTTCTAGATATTAAATGTCACTTCATTAAGCACTATTTTTATATGCTAGCTTTTGTAAGTTACACTTTGAAATTTACCTGCTGCTTTGGAGACAGACAAAACTTTATCAATGAATCAGGAAATGGCTTCTAAGCATTTTTCACAATCTTGGAAATTCAAAGTGTTCTCTTCTCCCCACTCCTAAGGTCCCAGAGAATACCTTTTAATAATACTACTGGACTGATTCAGGACATCTCTTATCTAAAAAAAAAGTTATATTAGCAACAGCACATTCTGAATCCAGTTTCCTTTTTTATTTATGGACATCATATACACTGAAAGTTATTTGACTCCAATTACCCATAAGGCTAAATTTGTGTTAAGTCTTCACAGAAATAGCTTAACTTCACTTTTTTATTATAGCAGACTTTGTTTTCCATATGAACATAAATTTTTATCTCAAAGAAGGCAACTGAAAGAAAGAAAATCACAGCCAGAACCACTAAGCAAGTAATGTTCTAGGCTTTGCAACTGCACTGTTAGCATACACTCACAACGTGAATAATTCCAGTACAACATTTAATTTAGCTAGCATGGCTTGAGAGATGCTATCTTGTTTCTGAAACGCCCCCCTGGAACAAAACTCCATTAATATTATATTATCACCCTGTTCCTCCCTGACTAAGACTTTTCTCGCTGAGAAGTTACCACTCAAGTTCTTGCCTGCCCTTTTTTTTTTTTTTTTAAGATTATGGGAAGTTTGGTTTCTATAGAACTAAACCCTCCTAGATTATAACACTCACCATCTTTGCTATTTATTGCATACTTGTAAGTCACATGAGAAAGGTTTTGGATTCAGATTTTTCAGCTAATTGATGTTTGCAGAATTTTCATAGTTTAGTAATGTGGAGGGCCTTCCATAAAGATTTTATGAGCTAAGTAAGATGTGGTCTTTTCCTGGAAGATGTGTCATCTTCCTTTTCTTCTTCTTCATCAGAGTAATCCACAACACCAACTGAGCTAGCACTGTTTGGGCTACTTGTTCCACTAGCAGCACTGGCTGAATGGGGTGAAGTAACTTTGAAGCTACCGTAAGATGTTCTTTTACAATGATGTACCTTGTCTTCATTTCCTTTTGTTTTTTCAGTCTCCATCAATTTATCGTAACAATCTTGGAAATCACCTTCCAAGGCTGGTGTAACTGCTGCTTCTTCCTCTGTATTTTCTTTAAAATGCATTTCTTCCTTCTTCCCCAAAACTCTAGCACCTGTGTGAAACATTTCACTGTGCAGTGTAGGATGTGAGTTCTTCCATTTTTTATTCTTCTGGCCTTCTGCTTGATCATATTTAATCTTTAATCTTTTGAACGTTTGAACATATTTAATTGAGCCAAGTGCACTATAATATTTTTTACTATGTATGTAACCAGAGACTTGATATTCTTCACTCTTATGTATTCAAACAGCTCAATAATAGCTGAATTCAACATACTGTACCGAGTTCCATTATGCAGAAAGGCATTTACAAAGGGCTCAAAAAGATTTCCCTTGATGATGTAATAATTGTAAAGTTCATCATTAAGGCCAATCATCCTTCTCATAAAGTGAACAGCACCCAAAATAAGGAAAGTGTGCTTTGAATTCATCACAATCAGTATTCTTCTTAGCAAGTCTTTGCCCAAAATATAATATTTTATGTAATATGTGTGATGTTGCACACAAAATATGAGGAGTTCTAAAATTATAGAAAGCGCCTGTGCTGTTTGATAATTATTAAGGTCATTTTTGTTTTCGTCAGCTCCAGCTACACCATTCTCTTCACTTTTATCTTTTGAGGTGATGGCAAAAAAAGGTGCTGTTAAGTTATGCATACAATGTTCATAAAAGAAACTTAGAAATTCACATGTTTCGTATGTATCAGGTGTTGTCAGCATGTTGTCAGGATCAAGAAGAGCACGAAGAAGTTCCATTATATGAACAGCACCTTCTAGCTCAGGATCAGTATTGCAGATCATTTGTTTGATTACTACATTAATGAAATGATTACAATCTTTACTCTGCTGGGCTTCCTTCATTATAAATTCTTGGATCATGGATGGAAAATTCTCCACCAGATAAGAAAATATCTCAGTAGCAGATCATCCACGTTCATTACAACTTTAAGAGCAGAAGTCCCAATTGTGTCAATGTTTCAAATAGTGCTTCCTTCCTTTGACGATGTAATGTACGAGTAAATGCACAGAATTCCTTGAAAAAAAACAGCAGTTCACACCGTTTACCATCATCTGTAGTTTCATCCTTTAACTGTGTGAAGACTTCAGACAAAAGGCTGCCATCTTCCTGTAGCATGCTAACAATCTCAAATTGGTTGAAGAAAATAAACTTTCTAAGATTAGAAAATAACTTCCTGCCAAACACTGATGGTACAGGCGAAAGAATGTCATAGATGTACTGTATCCTGTATGTCTGACGTATTTTTTGTCTAAGTTCAGAGTCTCTTATAGGCACAACTTTCTTGAACTTTGCATTTTGGGTCAAAAATTCCCTGTGCTTGTTTGGCTGAACCAAAGCAGGGTCATATTCAAGGCATCCCACCACATCCCTGATACACTCATCAGAAACCATGATCTCAAACAGAGATGTCTTGTTAAAGAGTAAGATTCCTTTAAAAATATCATACAAATGGTGCAAGTCTTCAATATCCTGTAGGTTCTCACAAGTATGGAACATTTGTAGTAATCTTCTCATACAGCTTGCATTTTTCAAGACCAGAACCAGCCTTTCTATACAGGCAGGTAAAGAGAGAGCTGAGGTAACTAAGTCAGCAAACAGTTCAAGTTGCTCGAGTTCACAGGTATGCAGTGGAACAAAATTCCCAGCTCCTGTCACTTCATGAGACTGTGTATAATGTCCACAGATGGATCTTTACCTTGAACCCAGCAAATGTCTTCCCAGATCTTGCCACAAACTTCTGGGTCTTGGAAACTTAACGAAATTGTATGGTTCTCAACTTCAGACCAAACAATTAACCTCCCCCATTTTTTTTTCTGATAAAGAGTGTTTGGATTTAGCCTTGACAACAAGACCACTGAGCTGCTAGACTCTGATAGGACTAGCAGAGTCATGGCCTGAGACCTGTCCATGAATGTGGCTGAGATGTTGCCAGTGCCTAGTTCGTTCCATTCTTGGTCCTCATTGATTGTGTAGACTGTTTCATGGTGCCGCTTGTCCGCCATCGCACCCCCTCTGGCTGCTTCTCTCCAGCGCTGGTCACTGTGTGCTTTGCACGGGCAGGGAAGGTGAACAGTTGAGGCTACTGTTACGGCAACAGTGACGTGGCTGAGGGGGCGGTTTGAGAAAAATCGAACGAAAGTGGAAGCAAAGTAGTGGTCATGAGGACATCGGCGGTTCCCGAGGTCAGCAGGGTTCGCCTGGAGTCCCACTACTTCTCGCTTCCACTTCACGATCCCCTCCCTACATTGACACCTCAAACTCTTCATGTGGGTCTCTGACGCAATTCCTTCAGCCTGCTCAGCGTTGTCTAGGAGAACCTCGATTATGACAAGATTCTTATGACTCCGCCAGGATTCTACCCAAAAAGGAAGGTTGTGTACATGTTGAGGCGAGTCATTGCCAAGCTAACAAACGGAGACTTGGAGATTAGATCAAAGAGCTCTCTGTTCTTTCCATGAAATCTTTTGTCCCCCAGAAACATTTTTATTCAAGGGTGTGAGGGGGTGGAGGCTTAGGACCTTAAACAAAAGAGTTTAATCACTTCTGCCCTGAACAAGTCTACACCTAACATTTTATGTTAAGAAAAGGCCTTTTTTTTCCAAAAAGCAGTAGGAACCATTGTACTGCAGACTATTAGCAATAACTACAGATCTGTAGGTGGGTTTTCTCCATCAGGTTTAGCTTAAGTCTATATCACTCACTCACATGTCCTTGGCACAGGATATTGTTCTATGAGGGAGTTAGCCACTCCTTTACTTTGTTACTCTGTTCTGCTCAGCCTAAAGCTCTACATATTTCAGCAGAATGGGTAAAACTTTTTTCAATCTGTCTGTTACGGAAAATACTGAAAAAAAAGCCTGGACTGGATCACCGACACTCAGAGGTCTTGGAGTGTTGAGGCTTTATTTCACACCGGCGGGCTCAGAGGGGAGGAATCTCCCAAAAAAGTCTGAGCCCAGAACAAAGGAAAAGGGAGCAATTTATACCTTTCTGCTTCCTTATCTGTAACATTCCTACGCAAGTGAGCAGGCAAGGGGGAGGGAGTTTAGGGAGTGAACCTTGGGACTGGTGCTCGGCAGCATGGGGAAACCACGGGAGTGTTCCCTTTTTTGTTTGGGTTGAGGAGGGGGGTGAGGCAGAGGGGAGCCACCTCCTAAATTACTCTCCTTGTGTTGTTTACGTTGAGGAGGGAGGGGTGCGAGACAGAGTGGAGCCACCCACTAGGTTGCTGTCCTTGTAAATTTTCCCTATCAAATCTATACCCACAACCCTCATTCTTAGGGAAGCAGTAGGCCAGAGGGAAGCTAAATTGTATTAGCCGAGAGTATAGAACATCACAGATCAATTATTTTATTTCTTTTCTTAACAATTAGGGTAATAATAACAACCACAACAACTCAGTAACAGTACTTGACTACTTCTTACTATTATAAAGAAAGGGAATAACATAATTGATCACATATAATACTTGAGTGCTTTTTATGCTCAAGACACTGTGACAAGAACTTTTACATATTTTCTTAAGTTTCATAACCTAGTGATACAGGAGTATTATGCATTCATTTAAGATCAAGAAAGGAACTTAGAGAAGTTAAATAAATTGCCAGAGGTCACACTGCTAGTAAGTTGAGGAAGTCTGATTTGAACATTTGTCTTTCTGATTCCAAAACTGGTTTTCTCAGCCACTGAATTGTTATCCCCTTCTTTTCTTGGCCTTCATTAAACTTTATTTCACATTCCTTCCATCCATATAATTTGCAATCAACATAAAATTATCAAGATGAAAGTCATGCACTTCCTCCTTTAGATACACATCTGTGTATAGCCAACCGAAAAATAGAAGCTTGTATATGGCAACTCTATTAAATATAATTTTAATAGTAACCAACTTGATTTTTGATGTAGCAGCATCTTCTGCAGTTTAAAAAAAAAAATCCCCATCCCCCACAAAAAATTAACCCTGTTATTGCAAGGAAAAAACAGAATGGGGCCACATCAAACACATTTGGACTTGAAAAACCCTATTTGTAACAGTCACCTTATCTTACACAACATTGGATACGTGTGACGATTCTCTAGTAGAGCACAAAAAACTCTTCCACACACCTCTTTGCAATGTCAATCCAGGAGATTATAATACAGGAATATTCCTTGGCACAGTACAGCTGGGGCACTTGGGAAGTTGTATGCAAATGACACTCATGTCATGAGAAAATTCACATCAGTGCCAGGATACTGCTGGTTTAGAAATATTTAAATTACAGAACTTGAACATAAAAATTAATAAATGACTAATATAAAAATTGATATATGTACTAGTTTTAAACTCCTGTCTTATTTCAATGAGAGAATATGCAAATATGTAATAATAATAACATGCATGTAAATGGTCCAACTATTTTCTCTGTTGTGGTTATATTAAAGTTTCTATCAGAATCAATTATAATTCTGTCAATTGAATACGAACTCAGGTTCCCTTCTGAGGAGCATTCAGGGAGACTCTGTGTGTTCTCACAATTTTATCACAGGGAGTTTCCCTTAGGCCAATTAAGGTTCCTTTATCTTAATTAGGTTAAAAATCTCTTTACAGTCTAAAAGAGCCTTAAATCCACATTTCCTATTGCCATTTCTGCAGTAGATTCTTCCAGTTCCTGTCTTATTTGGTTTGGGAAGTAGAAAAAAAAAATACCCTTTTTTGTTTCAGTAGCTTTACCTACCTAAAGTCATTATTTTGTTGTTCTTTCACAGAGAACAAGATAATACAAATAAACAAATGCCATATTCTAGGAGCTGTGTAAGTCCCTTTTATAGGCATTATTTATTTATTATTTAATCCTCACACAAGAATGGCCTGAAGAAGATATTGTTACTACCATATTAGAGAAGAAAAAACTTGAAACTCCAAAACTGAATCAAGCATTGGGTTCAAACCTCTGCTTGATTTGAAAAGTTGGCCTGTGTAGTTCCAACTCTCCACTCTGCTGTTCCCAATATGCAGTGTTTTCTCTTAGGCTATGCATGTGTTGTGATAGCAAATGTTTATAGCAATGTGATTTCTATCCCAACTATCACTGCTACTTGATGTTTCTTCATTTTATTTTGTGAAGGAAAATCACTGAGGCCAGTGCAAAATCAAAATGGGTAGATTTCATCTTAGGACTCAGATGCCTTTTCTGTTTTGGATGACTGTCTATCTCGTGCTTCCTCCTCATGACCTTAGGGTGGTAAGAAGTAGTTCTGATGACTCTGCTGCAAAAAAGGAGTGTTTTAGATCAGGACCTTATAATTCTTCCACATTTTAGGACTACAAAGGGCTTGACTTTGATGTTTCTCAGAGTTATTTTAGAAGACAATAAAGGAATGAGTCATATATTTCTGAATTTTAGGTACAGGTAACTCAAACTGCATGAATACATACAGAACATTTAGAGATATAAATATTCTTTATAAAAAAGGAGAAAACACTTCACAGTGGGAAGACCAAGGTGATTTTTAAGATTACAAAATAGTTTTTAAAACTGAACTATTCAAATATATCTGCTCTAAAATTTTCAACTGTAAAATCATTCATGAAATACACGTATGTATGTTCTGCAAGTTCTCCACATAACTTATTTTGTGGATTGTTGCCTTCTTTGGCCATCACCATCTCTGATTTGGAAGTCTGTAAGTCACCTCCTCTGGCTTCTACTGTTTCCCCCTACTAGTACGCCCTCAACACAATAGCCAGAAAGGATTCACTTACAGCATGTCATATTTTCCCACTCCTCTGCTTAAAATCAATGTGTTTCTGCCTTACTTACAATAAAAGCCAAAGTCCTAACCATGGCTTATAAATCCTAAATTTTTAAAACCTGGCCCCCTTGACCTACCTGAGCTCTTCACTTAATAATCTCTCTTCTTTATTCTGTTCCAGCCATAGTAAGCCACCTTGCTTTGTTTGAAGCACATCAAGAACACTTATGCCTCAGGTCCTTTGCACCTGCCCTTTCTTCTACCTGGAACACTGTTTCTCAATATCTGCATGGCTCACACCCTCACTTCATTAAATTATTCAAGTGCCATTTTTTTTTCCAGTGAAACCTTGCATCCACCTCCCATCCATCTGTTTCTGATGTATCTTTTCTCCATAGCACTTGGTATCATCTGACTCTTCTGTACTTCATTTATTATCTTTTCTGCAACCAGACTATCAGCCGTACAAGGTCTATGATTTATCTGTTCATTTTTCTCACTGCTGTGTGCCTGGTACTTTCCATAAGGCATGATACATAGTAGTTTCTCAACAATTATTTATTGAATAATTACATAAATAAATACATTCTTTTATAGGATAATTTTCAATAATCCATGTATTCCTCATGCAGTTTTTGAGCAACCAATATGTACAGGCACTATACTAAGCACTGCTAATAAAACAGGAGATACTTCTAATTTACAAGATACATCTGGCATTACCCTTGCTGTTCCAATCCTCTTTTGGATAGTTTTCTTCTTATTGATATGAACAAGGAAGCAATATTCTCCTGTTTTAGGGTTTTAATTGCATGAAAAACTATTTTATTGAGTAAGCTGGATGCTTTCCTTCATTTCTGTCAAACATTTCTTCACCAACCTTGAGGTAAACCTCAGGCAGAAACTACAGCTTTTCTGTCAACTCTCAGGTATGAAAGAACCCTAACTCCCTACTGTGAATATTTCCAGTCCACACAAGCTTCTGTTTGAGTCACATCTGTCTAAAACAAGGTCACGGCCAAGACTAGAGTTAAGGGATGGGAAAGTATGCCCCACCTCCAGTAGGGGATCATAGCAGAATTACACCGCAGGGGGTGTGGTTTGAGGGAAGGATGAAGCACTGGGGACATAATGCAATCTTCCATAGCCTGGATTAAACAGGTATAACCCAGAACTTTAATGGACAAAGAGAGACATATGGTCACCCTATATACAGGAGATTAGAATGTGTGGATATTTACAACCTTTTGTTCTCAGCTGAAAATGTGACCCTGTTATGTGTGCATTGTAGCAGTACTGGCTACTAACTACCCAATTCTCAGAGGTAAGAACCACTTTTAAGTATTTTCTTGGAACCACGGGCAGTTTCTGTTAGCACCACCACATTCTCCACTGAGTGCCTGGCTTTCTTGGAAGCTCCAAAATCTTTTGCTCACACCACAGGGATTTAAAGGAGAAAAAGTAGGGAAGGAATGTTGTTCTCTTGACCACACACAAATTTCTGACTTTGGCTCTCTCTTCTTCTTCTGTTCCAATAGTTACTTCTAGACGCTTTTTGAGTTTTGTTTTTAATTCCATAAATCACAGATCTTCTTTTCTATCCTGATAGACCATATTATT